AAACACTGAGAAATCTGTCTGCCCTGGTGAGTTTCTCACTCCAAGTCAGTATGCATAGAGCTCAGGGCTGTACTCTCCTTCTCTAGTGATATGGTTTGGATCTGTGTCCCATCCAAGTCTCAGGTTGAAATGTAATCCTCAATGCTGGAGGTGGGACCCAATGGAAGGTGATTGGCTCATAGGGGCGGTTTCTCATTAATGATTTAGCCCCCTCCCTCTTGGTGATGTTGTTGCGATAGTGAGTTATCGCAAGGTCTGGCTATTTAGAAGTGTGTGGCCGCTCCCCCACCCCCTCCTCCTGCTCTGGCTATGTGAAGTGCTGGTTTCTCCTTCACCTTCTGCCATGATTGCAAGTTTCCCGAGGCCTCTCCAGAAGCTAAGAGGATGATGCCATGCTTCCTGTACAATCTGCAGAATCATGAGCCAATTAAACCTCCTTTCGTTATAAATTACCCAGTCTCAGGTATTTCTTTACAGCAGTGTGAGAACTGACTGATATCTAGGAAGGACAGTAACAACAGAATCCACTTTTGCTATCGGCTTTAAACCAAACTATTCTCTGCGGAACAGGAAAATTGAAGCAGAAAGAGAGAATGGAAAGAAAAGAGGTGACTAAAACACATTTAAGGTGTGTACAGCTCAGTGAAAAGGGAGAGAAACAATGGGCTTTCTAAATTACTTTTCTTAATGTGTATTACACCACACTCAACTGGATACATCAATATCATCATGGTTCTTCTAAAAATCAATAATTACCTCTCTGTAGTAGATTTCCTATACTAGCCTACTTTTCTTCCTTTTTTCATTTCTAACATCTTAGTTAATTCTATGACTCCCAAGGTCTTACCACATCCACCCCTCTGTGTACAACATGGCTGGATCACACTTCCCAAAGTCTGGTTTTAGTCATTCAGTACTCCTCTAAAACATCGTAATGGCTCCCTAAAATGCTCTTATCCTTAGCCTACAGTTCAGAGCTCTGTGTATCCTGGTCCTAACCAACTTTGAAGAGCTACCACAATACTAATCCTATACCTGGGCCAATCTAGACTGCTCTTCCTTCTGAAGAAATAGTTGTGCTTTTCCTCCACACTCAGCCCAGGCATATCTAGCTCCACTCCACTGTGGCCAATGGGACAACACAGCTATCAAAAAAGAAGAGACATTGAGCCAGGATGCCTATAATCCCAGTGACTCCAGAGGCTAAGGTGGAAAGATGGCTTGAGTCTAGGCATTCAAGGCTGCAGTGAACTATGATCTCACCTCTGCACTCCAGCCTGGGTAACAGAGCAAGACTTTGTCTCAAAAAAAAAAAAAAAAAAAAAGGAAGGGGGATCTTGTCCTGTTCTCTACTGCATCCTCAGTAGTGCCTAGAACCAGATCTGGCACTTCGTAGATGCTCAATGATATTTTTCTTTTCAGTAAATAAAAGGAACAGGCCATTTCCTCTGACTGAAAAGCTTTCTGTCCAGCTCTTCAGTTCTCAAAATCCTTCTGTCTCAGTAAGCCCTGTGTCACTTTTTAGAGCATGGCACTGAAACTCTTTGACACACCTCTCACTGAGACTTGTCATAATGGCCCTTCCCTTGAATCAGCGCACCAGGAATGCTGGACCAATAAAACACAATGGAAGTAACACTGCAGTGGTTATAAAAATATGCCCACGAAATTCTTTAATACTCCTCCTTTGGGGTAAAACCTGTTTCCTTCCCCTTCCCTGTGGGCTGAACTTAGTGACTTGCTTCTATTCACTAAGCAGAAGTGATGCTGTGTGACTTTGAAGGCTAAGTCCTAACAAGGCACTGTGGTTTCTGTCTTATTTGCTCTCTCTTCCTCAGATCACTGGCTCTGAGGAAATCAGCTGCTATGTTGCAAGAGGTCCTATGGCATAGCTCTTGTGGCAAGGAACTGAAGCCGTCTGTTAACAACACATGCATGAGCTTGGAAGCAGATCTTTCAGCCCCAGCCAAGCCTTTAGATGACTGCAGCTCCAAAGTGTGTCTTAACAGCAACCTCATGAGACCCTGAGTCAGAGCCACCCAGCTAATTCACTCTGGACTCCTGTCTCTCAGAGACTATGAGAGATAAAGGTTTGTTGTTTCAGGCTATGAAGTTTGGGGAGCCACTTACTACACATTAATAGAGATGCATGCCAGTTTCTGAATTCAGACCTTAAGAATAAGAAATTTCCATTTCCTTTCTCTTGGGACACTCGCTCTTGGAACCTAGCAGCCATGTTGTAAGGAAGCCAAGCTGCCTATAGAGAGGCCCACAGAGACAGCACTCAACAGCCAGACCATATGTATGCACCATATTTGGTGTGGATTCTCCCACCAAATATGGGAGCCACCCCAGTTGAGCCACCCCAGCTGTCCCTGCCAAGCCCTGCCCAAATTGTATTTCCATGGGCAAAATAAATAACTGGTCATATTTTAAGTCACAACATCTTGAGATGATTTATTATGCAGCAGTAGACAATGAAAACAGATTTTGGTATCTGGATATGGAATGCTGTTGTAACAAAATCCTAAAATCAAGGCATTGGTTTTGGGACTTGGTAGTAGGCAGAAGCCTCATGGGCCTCAGTGAAGGATGAAAAAAAGTAAGAAAAATATATCAGAAGCTAGAAAAAAAATATCCTTGTAGTGGCAAAAAAGTCACTGAGTTACCAACTGAGGCAATATAAAAAAGAGTCCTTAATAATTGTAATTATATATCCAAGGAGATTTCCAGGCAGAATACAGAAGTGCCCACTGACCTCCTGTCACTGCCTGTGATGAAATGCAAGAGAAGAGAGATGAATTAAAGAATAAACTGTTACATGTAAAGGAGCTAGATCTGCCCAGGTTTGAAAATGAAACTAATTTCTTATTCCTGCTCTCTGCAAATGGCGAATAATTCTCAAATTAAGAAAGGGCCTCAGGCTATAGATCAAAGTCAGGATGGATGTATTAGTCCTTTCTCACACTACTATAAAGATACCACCTGAGATTGGGTAATTTATAAAGAAAATAGGTTTAGTTGGCTCACAGTTCTGCATGGCTAGGGAGGCCTCAGGAAACTTACAATCATGGCAGAAGGAAAGGGGAAAGCAAGGCACCTTCTTCACAAAGTGGCGAGAAGAATGAATGCAGGAAGAACTACCAAACACTTGTTAAACCATCAGATCTCAAGAGAACTCACTCACTATCATGAGAACAGCATGGGGGAAACCACCCTCATGATCCAAACACCTCCCACCAGGTCCCTCCCTTGAATGTGGGGATGACAATTTGAGATGAGATTTGGGTGGGGACACAGAGCCAAACCATATCAATTGGTCTATAAATCTAAGAGAGCAAATCATAGAAACTTAAAGACAGACAAAAGACCCCCTAAGAATCTTAACGACATCCCTTAAGATCCTCTCCATTCAATAGGGGTTTTAAGAATCTTACCTAATGGAGTGAAGGTTTGCCCATTCTGAAGGTATTGAAATAGGAGGAAACAGAAATAGCATTATATGCAGGAGTTGCAAAAAAAAATGTCAACCACCTTATCACCAGTATCACCCATTGACTGAAAGGCCCGTCCACCAAAGAGCATACAGTGCAATCAGAAAATAGTGAGGTCAAAAGGTCAGTTACCAGGAGGGTTAATTCAGGTCATCCTTCAGCAGATCAGGCCTTACCAATTTTCTCAGCTGACCAAAGAGCTAAAACAGGAAACCTGCCCCATATGCAATATGCCATCTTAGGCATTTTCCCTGGAGTCTGAAGAGAGATTGTTCACATTGGAGTGAGGCTATCTCTGCTGCCTGAATTATACATTTCTTCCCTCGGGCTTAATACAGACTCATCCACCTGTATTCCTGGGAAAGATATATTGATTAAGAAAGGCAAAAACCCTAACTCAGAAGCAAGACTGTGTTCAATCTTCTTTTTTTTCCTCTTACCAAATGGGCTCATAATTTCAAGTAAATGGCATGTGAAGCTGTTAAGAGCCAAGCCCCACATTCGCACTGCCGTGTTCTACTGGTTGTAAATAATACGCGTGACTACACCAGGGACCAAATTGCTCATTAGCTGCCAACATTAGTTGTTTAACGATCTGAGGAGCAGAAGCTGCCAATTATTGTATTCCTTCTTAAAATACCATTTAAAACCCACACATGTAATTATTATACCTTTTCGTTAAATTTTTATGATTCTTTTGAAGCTGATGAGCTGTGGGTCCATTCAAACTACAAAACTCAGAGAACTTTTTGAAGTTGTCATTATGTAACTGGGTTAAATATCCATATATAATACACCAAGAGAGGGCCTGGACTTTAGCCCCAGATCAGCCACTGCTGAGCTAACTGAGTGACCTTAACCAAAGGACACATCCCGCGGCCTCAACCTCCCCATCAGTCCATTTGGATCACAGTCTCTCTCCCATCTACCTAATACAGCAATTGTGAAAATAAAATAACAAATACAGAGGAGTGTTTGAAAGCACTATTCAAATGATAGGATAAGATACTGTTTTCAGAGACTCTTGTTTTCAAGCTACTAATTAATGGAAAAATCAATTCCTTAATAACTGCCAGACTAAGAGGGAGCATAATCCTTTGAGGATTCGCCAAGTTTCTGTGACTAGATTTTTAAACCAAGGATATCCATTTGTCTCATGCTACCACCCTTCCCCCATAGGAAGAGTCTAAGCACACCCAATAATCCTCATTCACTATTTACAGATACACAATGCTACATACACATCTGCTAGAACCATATGGCACACAGAGTACATTCAGTCTCTAAACTCTTCAAGAAACAGGAACTGGAAGTCCCAAATACGGTACTCAGATAAACAACTTGTGCTATATTATGTGTACATTAGTGAAACTCCCCAGAAAAGCTTTCAGATGTCTGAGAATGACATAATAACTGTGGAATGTTCATCGAGGCCAAAACACGGTGCGCTGGTGGCTGTCATTATTTTAGTTGGACAGCTTCAACATCTCCTACACTGCCAGTTACCTGATATGGCATGCATTTTGGCTTCAAGCAAGGCTGGTAGTTGGGTTTCAATATCGTTAACTTTCTTCCTCAGGGTGCTGCAGAATTTCTCACTCATACACACCTAGGGGGAGAGAAATGGCCAGAAATCATCATTTATTCAGCTAAAAATCAGAAGGCAGTAGAACAGCCAGGTCAGAGATTTCTGGGTTTGTAAGTAATTAAAAGGGGTGATGAAGAGTAATTGGAGGATAATGCTCAAAAAGCAAGAAATGGAAAAAGAAAGACAAAGAAGAGAGGGAGGGAGGGAGGGAGGAAGGAAGGAAGGAAGGAAGGAAGGAAGGAAGGAAGGAAGGAAGGAAGGAAGGAAGGAGAAAGAGAGGAAGGAAGGGAGGAAGGAAGTCAGGGAGGGATGGAAAAGAAAAGAAGGGAGGGAGGGAAGAAGGGAGAGAGGAAGGGAGAAGGAAGAAAGGGTTGGAGGGAGGAAGAAACAGGGAAAAAGGGAAGGAAGGAAGGGAAGGGAAGGAGGGAAATGGAAGAAAAAGAACAAAAATAAAGTGAGCAATGGCGTATTCCAAGCACATGCCCATCACCCACACTCAATTACAAAACCGATAGGAGCTAATCCAACAGAGAGCAACCACAAGTTAACATCATTGCATCACTCCTGCCTCCTGCCTTCTCCAGAACTTTGCCGAATCCTCCTGTCTGCATCACTTTCGTAGCCCCAGGTGGTTTGGCTCACTCATACCCTTCCGGACTCTGCTCAATTGCTGCCTGGGAGGGAAGGCCTTGCTGATTACCCACCCAAAATAGCAACCTCCTTTGGCCCGCCCTCCGCTTGATGTTTTTCTACAGCTTCCGCTCAGATGACACACTATGTACTTCTATTCCTTTGTTTCCACATTGTCTGTCTGCTGGGATACGAGCTCTATGTGAGCAGGGACTTTGCTCTGTGCCTGGCACATAGTATGCAGTGAATAAAGATACGGCCATTGAGATGAAGGTCAAAGCTGCAAGCTAAATTTAATTACTAGTATTAATAGACACTGTTTAGGGAAACTTTGAAGGCAGATAGATACTTGCTGGCAAGTCAGATCTGAAAAATAGACAAGTAACTCTCAGTGAGGTTTGAAGGTTTTATCATGTATTTTCCCATGACATTCCAAACACATCCTACAGTTTTTTTCTTTGGTTTTTCAAAAACAGCAAAAATCTTAAATCTTAATTTATTTTTCCAAATGTCTTTAGGTTATCTTTTATTTTGTTGGAGGCTAAAACATCACATTTTTCCCTTTTTGAACCCTTTCAGCAGTCTCAAGACTTTTCATATGCCAACGATATCTAGACTCAGATTAATGAGCTACCTAGAAAAATTTAATTTCCCAGAAGAATCTAGGTTTTGTTGGACACCATCAACTTTAAATGTTTTCTTATATCAGTTTGAATTGAGATTATTTTTAGAGTCAAAGCAGACTTCATCCATCCTGCCTAAAATACTCCACTGTTTCTCTCATGGACTTCCATATGTTCTATTCAGTGGCTATAATTTTCCAACATCTTTTTTATAAAAATCATTCTCTGGATGAAGATGACAGTTTGGTAGCCTCTAAACCAAAGCCTGCACTGGTGGTGTTGGGCATCCACATGTCCAAAGTAATTAATTCCGAGACCCTTTCAACGTCTTGAGACTTTTCAGGATGTCAGAACCAGAGTTAAAAGGAAGGTATCCCTTCCCCCAGCACTTTGGCTCAAACCCAGATGACTGGCACATCCCATTGTATCCATTTAATAATGTCATCTGAGGTCTGAGGGCATTTCCATTAACTCTGTAACACCAGCCATAATTCTTACGTCTCATCCAATCTATGTCCAATATTTCTGATTTTAGTGAACAGTATCTGTTAATTATTATTGGGTCAGTTTCTCCTTTGTTGAGCAAATCTATCCTTCAAGTTGCCAATATTAATACAAAACAACCTTTCTGAATCTTCTTATTAAATTGCAATGTTCACTCTTTCAGGCTCTGCTGGATGTAATCTAATATCTACCAATCTCCAGATATCCCATTTATTTCCAACTGTTTCTTCCATCTCATTTATCCCTTAATTACCTTTGGTTTGGGTAACCCATAAGAGTTTAAGAAATGCAATGAGTGCAAGGAAGGTTTCATTTCTTTCTGAGACAGGAATCTAAAGAATATCAGGTAGGGGTGTGTGTGGGTGTGTGTGGGGGTGTGTGTGTGTGTGTGTGTGTGTGTGTCTAACACACTAGAGAAAGAAAGCTATGTCAATCTGAGACCTTTAGCTCATGGTCACTAGTCAATCTAGTTTAAAGTAAAGAGAAAGGTGTTTTGTGTGACTGGACAGTTTTGTTTTAATTCTCTGTGGACTAATATAGGCCCCTGCCCACAGCACACACACACACACAGATTCATGTCTGTGCACACATACCTATCCAACTCTGCACACACACATACACATCCCCAGAAAACCTGTGTATCCTTTTTATTTACAAATAAAATTGCACACTCATTATCAAATGGAGCTTTTATGTTTACATTTTAAAATCAAAGACATGAGTTCCTTAATTTTATGGAAAAGCAAAGTAATTATAAAGTATTTTAAATGTATTAGAGAAGGTATATGCAATGGTTGGAAATGTTTTTGTCCCCCCAGAATTCACAGGTTGAAATTCTAACTCCCAAGATGATGGCATTAGGAGGTGGGGCCTTCGGGAGGTGATCAGGTCAGGAAGGTGGGGCCCCCATGAAGGGTTAGTACCCTTATAAAGAAGCCTGAGACCCCGCCTTGCCCTCTTTCTTCCATGCGGGAATACAACGAGAAGTCAATCGTCTGCAGCCTGGAAGAGGGCCTCTCACCAGAACTTAGCCATGCTGGAACCCTGATCTCAGACTTCCAGTCTTCAAAGCGATGAGAATTAAATTTCTGTTGTTTATAAGCCACCCCGTCTATGGTACTTTGTTATAACAACTCAAATGGAGTAAGACTGTATGCAAACAAAGCAAACCATTTTTGATATTTGGGAAAATCTAAGATATTTAATAGTAGTTCGAGATTTTCAACAAATCCTAATACTGAGTACATATCAGTATATGTGTGTATCCACAATACACAGTGTCATAAACACACACATACAAGCACCATCTGCATTATATAATAGGCACACCTGTATCCTCAGTGTTGGTGTACAGATGCATTCATGTTACCTATACAGTATGTTCTGAAGATAGTCAATAAACTCAGACCCAAGACAGTCCTCCTATCTTTTAATTCTACATAGAAATCAGGATGCACCTGATAAACAGTAGAAAATGTAAGAGAGGCCAGGTGCGGTGGTTCTTGCCTGCAATCCCAATTTTGACAGACTGAGGCAGGAGGATCGCCTGAGCTCAGAAGTTCAAGACCAGCCTGAGCAACCTAGCAAAACCTGTTCTCCACTAAAAATCAAACAAATGTAGCTGGGCAAGGCAGCATATGTCTGTAGTCCCAGCTACTTGGGAGGCTGAGGCTGAAGGATTACCTGAGCCCAGGAGATCAAGGCTGCAGTGAGCTGTGATCTTGCCATTACACTCTAGCCTGGGTGACAGAGCCTTTGGGTGAGCAGAGCAGAATTCAAGCATTTCTGGGTCCCTGGTTCCAATGCTGTCTTATGGGCACCACTTGTTCCTAACAGGAAGCTCTCTTTGTATGCAAGTTATAATTACCCATCAAACCTGCGGCTCTGTGACCTTTAGCAAAATCACTGGGTGTTGTTTTCAGAAATAAATTAGATACAGAAACGGAGAAAATGCACAGAGTAACTCTAGACATTTTGCCAACAACACATCCCTGATTTTGGCTTAGCTGCGGTGAGCCCTTGGCGTGTTTCCTGATCCAGGGTCCAAGACTTTCTTTCCCTGGGCACAGAGACCGGAAGAGAGTCCTTCCAGGCCAACAGGCTCTTGGCTGCATTGCTCTCTGCTCAGCAAGCTGTCCTTTTTACATTTCGACCATCGTACAACCACCCCTGGTTCCTAGACCTACTGCAAATAATGAATGATTCATACCCAGTTCTCTGCCACAACATTTAGTCATAATTCACAGAGTAATTGATCCTCTTTCTCAGTCTGTCAATAACTTGGCCAGGTATAAATATATATGAGAAGGGCTTTTGTTTTGTAAACTGTGGTTATCCTAACTTATGAGGACATTGACTATTTAAATTAATTGACCGTGCTCCCAGGGAATAATGAAGACATATTCTGTCTGTACACAAATCAAGGTCTTGCTATGGCAGTATAAACGATGTATAAAGTAGGCAAAATGATTGTCAAGCCAACTGAAAAGCTTTAAAGAACAAAAAACAGTCACCGACTGTTTCATTTGTGAGGAAACTAGACATTGCCCTCCTGGGAAGAAAAGTAATTAATTTCTCAAGTTACTACCATCCTGAAAGCATTTTTTTTTTCTTTGAGATGGAGTCTCGCTCCGTCTCCCAGGCTGGAATGCAATGGTGCAACCTCGGCTCACTGCAACCTCCACCACCTGGGTTAAAGTGATTCTCCTACTTTGGCCTCCCGAGTAGCTGGGATCACAGGCACCCGCCACCATGCCCAGCTGATTTTTGTATTTTTAGGAGAGATGGGGTTTCACGATGTTGGTCAGGCTGGTCTCGAACTTTTGAACTCAGGTGATCTGCCTGCCTCAGCCTCCCAACGTGCTAGGATTACAGGCGTGAGCCACTGCACCCGGCCCCGAATGCATCTTTAAGCAAAGGCTTTCAATATGCATAGTGGCAGTCCTTTTCCAGTCCCTAAATTGACAGCTTCTTTTGTAGCAAAGGCCAAACCAGTGCATTTCTGGGGTGTCCACAAGTCAAGACCTCCACTATGGCAGAAGCACTCTCTCCTGGCTCTTTTAACTCATCATTGGGACTGCAAAATGGCTTGACAAAGTCTATGTGTTTTTGCAGAAGCTAGGTATCCTATGATCTAGACATAAAATCAAGTCAAAGAAAAACTTCATAGGCTTCTTTGGAAAATGGGAGTATAAAGGTACTTACCTTAGTAGTGATTTCTTTAAGTGACAAGTTGAGGGATTTTATTCTTTCCTGGAGGCTGGAAGAATTAAAAAGAGGAGATTGGTCTCCTTGGTAACCACAATTCAATACCACTACAGTTAGGAATACTGCAAAAAGTGAACCTTCCACTGGTCTGATGGATGAAGAAGTGCAGGAGGAAAGATGATGCCAACTTGGTTCCATTTGACTATGGAATAAATATGGTGCTAGGAAGCAGACCTTTCCTCCCTTACTATGCCTTACTAAAGCTAGAATTACAATTTTATCATGCCCGGAGTGTACATCTACTGATAACGGGAAGAACAGCCAAGGTGTGCTCCTGGCAGCAAAGGATTAAAATCTGCATTCCTATAACCACCTTCCCAGAAGGAAGGTGTATGCTGAGTAGTGTCTCACTAGCAGGGAATCAAATAGTATCTATTTGGGTAGACCATGCAATTCAGCAAGTATGTACCCAGTGTCCTCTGCATTGAGCACTGAAGTAGACCATAAAGGAGAGACATATATTTAAAGTATGTCTGAGATAGCACCCCTTAGGCTTCTCCCGCTTCTCTTTTCTCCTTAGCACTTTTCACCTTGACATATTTATTTATTCATGTAATTTCTCTCTCTCCCACTGGAACTTAAGTTCCACGAAGGCAGTGACTGTCTGTTGTATTCATTCCTGCATCCCGATTGCTTAAACAATTCCTGGAGCTTGTTAGCCAGCCCTCAGTCAGTATCTGTAGAATGAATGAATCAATGCAATTAAGAGTCAGATCTTATTATGAAGGTTGTTACCTAGTGGAGAAGAAACACATGCACGTGAGTCACTATAATATAAAGCAAGAGGAAAAAATTACTATAAGGGGAATAGAAAATCAATACTAGGAGAAAACTGCTACATAAAAGCTGTCACCAGGCAGAATATTGTCTGCCTTGAGCAATGGAGACAATAACTTGTGGAGCAATTTAGAACTAGGAGAGTGGAGGGAAAGCTTACCAGAAGAGGTGGAAAGTGAACTGGGCCTCAATGGAAAAAACAAAACAACAACAACAAAAAAAGGAGAATGAAATTCTAGCAAGAAGATAAATCTAACTGGACCAAATGGTTCTCACAGGTGATTTGTGAAAGATAAAGTTAAACAGTGAAATGACTATTTCTGGTAGGAAAGGAGAGGGAAGGATGGGGTGGGGCCTATCTGTATCTACAATGTTTGCTTATTTATTTAGTTAGGGGCCGGGCGCAGTGGCTCATGCCTGTAATCCCAGCACTTTGGGAGGCCGAGGTAGGGGGATCACCTGTGGTCAGGAGCGCGAGACCAGCCTGGCCAAAATGGTGAAACCCCGTCTCTACTAAAATACAAAAATTATCCAGGCGTGGTGGCATGCACCTGTAGTCCCAGTTACTTGGGAAGCTGAGGCAGGAGAATTGCTTGAACCCAGGAGAATTGCTTGGTGTGAGCCGAGATCATGCCACTGCACTCCAGCCCAGGCAATAGAGTGAAACTCCAACTCCAAAAAAATAAAGTAAAATAAATTTATTTAGTTAGGGAAAGAAAATCAAAGTAAATATGGGGTAAATTCTACTATTTGTTTAATTGTAGTGGTGGGTAAATGAGTGTTGTATTTTTAAATATGTTTGAAATATTTACAATTAAAATAATTTTAAAGAAATATCAAGGGCAAGCTTTAGTCAGTATTAAATGACTAAGGAGTTTTGAGTTTTATCCCTCAAGCAATAAGAAATCACTCCATTTTTTAGCAAGAGAGCAACATGAAAAAAATGTTTTCATTTTTTAGAAAACTAATTGGGTGGCACTATGAGAGATGATTTGGAGAAAGAAAGTCTGAATGTGACAAAGCCAGGCAGGTCCCTTCAGCAGTGTAAGCCAGTCGGAGGGCACACGGGCCCTGCAGAGTGATACAGGTCAAAAAGGGGAGGGAGGAACAGGACTGGATTACGTGGATGCTCAGAGCAGTGAGAACATCCATTCTAGAGTTTTCGATTCTTTCATGCATTCATGAACTCATCCATTCTTCAAATATCTATCTGCTGGGCACCCAGCAAGTTAGGGACTTAGAGCATGAAGACATGGTGCCTGGCCACAACCACTTACTGCTGCTAGATATGCCAGAAAATGTAATAGATGCCAGAAGAGGAGTGATTACTTGATTAAATGATGACCTGCAAAAGGAAAGGTCAAGGTTTTTGGGGTATGTGTGGGGAGGGGAAGGGAAAGGGTACAGGGTGTCAGGAAATCTTATACCAGGGGTTGCCAAGTATTAGAGCTAAGCTGCCAATTTGCTGATTTTTGTTTGTTTGTTCTTCAACTGTAAGAACTATTTTTTGATGTTATCACATCCGCCAATTTGTCATTTCTGAGTATAAGCAAACTCGTTTCAATTGTAAACACCTGGGAACTGGTGCGGGTCCATACTAATCAGTCATTACCACTTGAGACCTACTTTCAACAGAGTAGGGTTTTCCAGTCCAGCTGAGATCAGCCCAAAAGGAGGAAGTGAGGGTTGACAGAGGTGGAGCATGTGACACCAGACTCTTCAGAATTCAGGAGTTGCCATCTGACCATCTGACAAAAATTAGTGTACTCAGTGGGAACTGAGGAAAACAATCTTTGGAAGCCTGCCTGGAGAATTCTAGACTCTGGCTGGCTGGGGACTGGATCTTTTGAGAGAATGTAAGTCAGAGTGTCACACAGACACGGAGATTGGGGCAGATGAAACCACTTAGGGTGGTGGGGAGAGAGGAACAGAGAGCATCCAACGTGGACCCGGTCTGCTTCTTCCTCTGATTCTAATAGCAGCACCAGCTTTGGACGGCTAATGCCTGCTGTCCAAACTGAAAACCTTTCTTGGGCAGAAATGCACTTTCCCTTGCTGAGCTCGTGAGAGTCTATTCAACAAATAAATTTTTAACAAATGGTTCACCACATCATTGAACCTATGTGAGCATTTAATAGTGTATTATAAGTAGATGTTCCCAACCACACACACAGACTAGCTCATGCATTCACATTTCAAGTAAGTAGCAGATCCTCTTACTGATACTGAAATTTTAGCTGACCAAAACGGCCGTGCTGTTAGCTAATGCCCAACATATCACATAAAAAGTAGGTCAAGCACCGTCTTTCCAGGGGTTTACACAGTTCACTGGTCTGGGCTCAGATCTGGCCCTATCTCAGAAAGAAAGTTAGTCTCCTCTTAGATATCATGTTAGAGGAAGGAGGCAGTGATGCAGATAATTAAATGCATTGTTTTATATTTAATTTGATTTATATTTAATTTATGCTATATTCCTTTTTGCAACAGATTTACCTTCCCAATTATGTTTTGCTCAGGCTACTATTAACATGAGTTGTATCCCTGGGGTATATATAGAATAAAAGCAATTGTGGGGGAACAGACGATATGAGTAATCTATATACTATGCTAGTGGGTTACAGGCTATTTATAATAGAAGAATTCTCTCAAACCAAAGTTTACACAGCATTATAAAATATAATAAAGATAACAGGGAATCTGCTTTTATTGAAGAGGGGTGTCTGGCCTAGGGTACAAAGATGTCACTTTAGCCCCCCCCACACACACACACACATTGCTGCTGCCATCACACTGTGGTCCCCAAACCATAATTCCAGGAGCAGGAATACAAACCGAAAACCAGAAAATAAGACCAGTTCAATGTTGATAAGCAAGAATTCTGTGTACTTTAAATGAGTATAACCAATCCCCACTTTTTAAAAAACTTGCATATTATTCATCACAAATATGAACTATCTTCTCAGATGAAATTATGCCTTAGCCTAGAAACATATAATTTGTCCACACAAATTAGCAAATATGTTTTCAGAAACACACCAGACCTAATTTACCCAGATCAGTATCTTCATTCCAAGTGGCTGCCCCGGAAATAACAGAGTCCAACATTTATTGAACACTTACTATGTACCAGACACTCTCCCAAATTCTTTACGCAGATGAGCATTTTAAATTCTTATTATAACTCTATGAAGTAGAAACTATAATCATCTACATTGTAAGACAAGAAAATTTAATCAAAGAGACTAAGAGAGATTTAAGTAACTTTCCCAGGGGTAACCAGTTGGTAATTATGGGAGATTAAATGGTAACCCAGGCAGTCTAACTATGTGTTCTCCTAACTACTCAACAATACTAACTACTGCTCCCAGAAGCTGTGTACCTATTTAAAATGAACTGTCATCATCCAGACAAATTTTTTGAATTCTACTTTAGAATTTTGTTAAATGTACAATATAATCAATACCATGATTTGTAAATACACGTTATTCTTTACTCACAAACTGGTGTTCTAATCATATGACCAAATTTCACCCTCAACAAATGAAACCTTAGAAAAATTGAGACTACTGACATGAATGTGCTGCACAGAACGTACATCAGTAGCAGATGGTCCTGGGGGTGATGACTGTAGCAAAAGGAAATTAAATGCAAAGGTGCCTGTCACTAGTTGAGTTGTATACCCCAAAATTCACAGGTTAGAGTCCGAATCCCCAGTACCTAAGAATGTGACAGTGTTTGGAGATAGGGCTTTTCAATAGGTAACAAATTTAAAATAAAGTCATTAGGGTGGACCCCAATCCAATATGACTGGTATCATTATAGGAAGAGATGTGGAGGGCCGGGTGTGGTGGCTCAAGCCTGTAATCCCAGCACTTTGGGAGGTCGAGGTGGGTGGATCACGAGGTCAGGAGATCTAGACCATCTTGGCTAACATGGTGAAACCCTGTCTCTACTAAAAACATAAAAAATTAGCTGGGTGTGGTGGCGGGTGCCTGTAGTCCCAGCCACTTGGGAGGCTGAGGCAGGAGAATGGTGTGAACCCAGGAGGCTGAGCTTGCAGTCAGCCAAGACCACACCACCGCACTCCAGCCTGGGCTACAGAGCCAGACTCTGCCTCAAAAAAAAAAAAGAGAGATGTGGAGACAGACACACGTGGTGGGAAGACCATCTGAGGACAAAAGAGAAAATGGTTGTCTGCAAGTCAATGAGAGGAGC